CCCCCCCAAAAAAAAAAACACACACACACACAGAGACAAGGCCACATCCTTGGGTGCCTACACTCATTATCTTCTAACATTAGATATCTGATATACTCGGCTTGGCATCTCATATTGAATAGAATGGTTTAACTACAGTGACTCGTCATAAACCTCACCTTTTCAGTCATTTGTTAGATGTGATCAATATAATTCTTAATCAACAATTAGTAATTAGTATCAAGCTATATCATTTGGTTAGCACTTAGCACCAGAGTGACCTTTGTCCTTTGCTATATTTCAAATCTTTACAATTCATGTCAGTGATTTATTACCATGTACTCTAGCCATAGTAGAAAGTCAGCTGTTTAACCATGTATTTCTCTCACCCTCTTTGTTCCCCATAATCATATTTCATCCTCATTATTTGATCTCTACTCTCTTGGAGTCTAAATGAGAACACCTTTCCCACCCTTCCAGACCACATTAAGCCTTGTGGGCTCACAATTGCCAATCTTTCAGGTGGTTAACTGACAGACCACTTACTGCCTGCCTCTTATGGCGTGACATTGGCGACAATTTGGTCATAAGTATTGATTGCTACAGATCATTCCCTGTAAACGGTCATACTCTCTGCCTTCTTATCCATATGAATATCGTGGATCAAATAATAGTTAGCATAATTGTGAATGTTATAATCCTCCCAAAGTGCCCTACTTACTCAAATATGTATTCACGTTATATGAAAATCAACTTTTAACATGTAAATAGTAGGTCACCTTTTCTTGCAAAAACAAATGATGTAGATGACAGTTTATGGTCGATTTTATTTTTACCCCCCTTGGGATCTACCCGATTCTCTTTTATTTGTTTCTCCTAGACTGGATTGAAAATAGTTGGACTGAGGTTAGGTTACATAGTCTGTACATGTAAGCACAGTTTTGTTCTCTGGACGTTGGATTGCCCATTTATGTTTACATATGGAGTACTAGTTATGCTTGAAAATTGATTCTTAAAGCTGAAGAGAATGTTTTCCTGCTGGCTACTTTTAATTGCATAATACTCATTAAACAGTATGTCTCCATGAGACATGATATGGATTTTGAGAAATAAATATCTGTAATAACGATTGGTTGGTTCATTGAATGGGAGGGGAACAGTTGATTTGCTTCTTCACGTTCTGATATTTATTTACTATCTAACCGTACACATTTGATAGTATAAGCGAACATGACATTCTCCTCCTTTTTTACTTTCCACCTTTTACTTAGAGTATAACCAAGTTTTAAATACTCCTTTACCTCCATTTCTAGTTTCTACTACCATTTTTCGTTTCTACTGAACCAAGCTGTATAAAAGTATCTTGTTTTACCAGAGTTCAGCACATTGGTGTATGTTGTTTGATTATGTTGCTTTCATGATGTTTCTGAGATTCTTAGTGCTCATCAAATGTGTACTCAACAGATGAACAAAGGGAAGTCTCAGAGTTCAGACAAAAACCTAACTCAAAATGACATGAAGGTCGGTGAACTGTTTACAGCATCATCACTTGAGGAATATGCGGAGGTAAACCGTGATGATGATGATGATGTTGATGATCAGCTCCAAGTTATTTGAGATGTGCATTTTAGAGAATAAATTTCATATGGCCCTTTATAGATTTCTCTTCATGGTCGCTAATTTGATTCACACTCGCACATTTATAGTGGCAGCTTTGGAGAAAGAAGTGAATTTGTTGGCCACAATTGATAGAGGCTGTTTGATGGATAGTGGATATAGGCTTTCAGATTTTCTTAGCTAGTGATTAAGAGTTCTGAAAGTGTAATATAGGCTAAAATAGATTCTTAAGCCTATTTAATTTAAAACAGGCTATAGTATGAGGTTTGAAGTTATAAGTTTTGCAGAGGAGATCCTTCGGCCTTAAGTTCATTTCTTTATTGGGGTAGTCTTGTAGAAATTTTATCCGAATATGCGATTCAGCTTAAAAGACAGCTTGCTTCATGATATTGTTATGTAAGAGCATTGGTGTTTTGCTAGTCAATTTACTCATATTACTAGTTTGTCTTCGGTTTTTGGGACTCGATGGCTCGTGAATTTACATTATGGTTGGCAGAGCTTTGCACTATTTCTGTGATGCAGCCTCCAGATTGATTTGAATCTTCTCTATTCAGTATTTTGATTGTAAGATAAATAAGTGTCTTAATGCAGTTCTGAGAGGAAAGAGTATAATGAAAGTAGAAATCACATGTCACTATGTCCTTAAATCACCTTTTCATAATATGCTGCATATGCTCCAGAAATGATCTGAGAAAGGCGGAAGTGGAGCATGTAAAAGCCATTGCAATACACCCAAGAATCGTTATGTTCAAACTGTCAGATTTGCAGTGCCAAGTGGGTATCCTTTTCGAGCAGATCCATATTGACAATTAACGGTGTAAATCACTTGGGAAGTTTTCATAATCAGTTAGTCAAGATGGTTACTGCATCGATAATAATGAAAAGGTTTTTCATTTATATGGCTCATGGAACCCTCCTTGACCATTTGTCCGAAACTGGTAATGTTCCTCTTTCATGGAATAAGCGCTTCAACATCTTGCATTCTAAATGCGAAAGGAATGTAGAACCTCTACACTAGTACTAGACACACGATTTTCACCACAAATTGAAGTCCACAAAAGGGTAGCTCCGGTATCTGATTTTGGTATTCAAAAGTATGCAAATTGTAGAAAAAAATGTTTGTTTATTACATGGACGCAGTTCTGGATACCTGGACAAGTATAACAAGACGGGATCCAACTGTCGGAAAGAAACCAAATCAAAGAATATAAAGGCTTCAAAACAAGAGTTGCATCGACATGAACTTACATTTGATCAAGAATTCATCTATCCATATAGATGAATATTACATTTATCTGGCAAAAATCATTTAAGAATATATTCTTCATCCTCCTTGTAGTGATTGATTACAATCAATGAATATTGCATTTATCCGGCAAAAATCGTTTAAGAATATTGTGAGTAAATCCCAAAGAAAATCAATTGTGGTAGACCAGATACTTGGATTCCAAGTCAGCTTATGTATCACTGTCATCTATACGGACAACTAATCAGCAGAGCTAGCACGGTCTTGATATCTCCAGCTCCAATACTGTATGGCAGTAATATAAGAAAAACCCTACCGCATGAAGAGTCATCTGGCAGCTAGCTCTATCAACCTATTCATTTACTGCACACAAGCGTTCTGCCAAAAAAAGAAATCATGTTTTAGGAAAATTTATTGAACAAGATGCACGTTTCATATCTTCATGTTAAAAAAAAAACAGTAGCTTATCAAATATTAGGGTACAAATATTCTCTTTTTTAAGTGGCAATATATTGCCAAAAACGGAGAACCAATTGGATGTTATTTTTTGCCTAGAATCAAGAATTAGAGCAACAGAGCTTCTCTCTTTTATGAATATGCATTTGTCACAAATAGAGTGCAAATGCCCACTAAGCTACAAAGAACATATCAGCGAACACCTGATCCAGATAAAACGGTTTGTTTCAAGGGAAGTATGATGGAGCAGCTGAGCAGACATGCGAACTCTTCATACTAACCAGAGCTAATAGGCCGCAAAATTTATATGTAAACAGATTAGGCACAATTTTTTGGATCAAGAGGTAAACAGATTGGCACAAACTGGAGCATCAATAAAACTGATAATGAAACATAAAGAACAGCAAAGCACATATCAAGTCAGTGGGAGGTCAAATTTTTATAGATAAACTTATTGTAATAGTTGAGGATAACAAGTATTTTCCAAGTCACAACTGTCGTTTAAAGACATCAAGATCAATCACAAAATCAGAATGTTGTGAATAGAATGTCCCATATAAACTCGCAAAAATCAAGTACAACACCTACCACTCTGATTCAATTGAACACATCCATAGTATCAACACAGTAGGTTAATAAATCACACTTCAACTTCCAAACGAATTATGATTTATTGCTCACGTGGTAGTAAAAATTAAAGGAAAAAGAAGAAGAAGAGGTCAAGATCATACTGAGATATTCATAGGCAAGTATCATGGAGGTTCCCCATGCTGACATGCTGACAAATCTTGGACCTAATCCCCTATAAAATCCTGTCCAACCATCCTCAGCAATTAACTGCTTCACTACTTGTCGTGCAGTAGGCCTCTTGTCGTGTCCCATCACCTGTAGTGCATGAACAACAAGATCCTTAAATAACAAGACTCAAAACTGAGACTAATTACAGGACAATGCAAGAGCACAAACTAGTGTGGCTAGAGTTTTAAAAGGAATTGCTTCTCAACACTCACTTATGTATCCAACCTCCGAAGGAGAGACCAAAAGAAAAAAAAGAGAATACCTACAATTTCTATGCAAATGAAGAGAAGCAGATATTAATGCACAATTGTGCGCACCAATGTGTAGGAAACAAAACGAACACTTACCCAATCTAAAGGCACTGCAATGCCTCTTGCGAAAGCTTAACACTTGCAAAACGTTTAACACATAAACTAGAAAATTTTGAAAAGTGTAGAAAAAATAGTTCATAAAAGAAAACAGAGGTAATACCTGCAATCGAGTTTTAATGGTGTCCAATGGAGTTGTTATGCAAGATGCAGTAGCACCTGCAATGATCCCACCAGCAGCTTGAACTGCCACTATTTTCCCCTGGCTGGGAGCAGGCCCACCATGCTCAGTTCCATTATCCAAGAGCCTGCTGATAGACACCAAAAGCAGTTGATAAGCCACAAAAGGTTACCCAACAGAAATCTATAGAAAAGGCGATGCAACCCAATTCAAAGGTATAACAGGAACGTGAACAGGAGAAAAGGGACAGTCCACTCTTAAAGAATTTTGGACGATCAGCACTGTCATGTCTCACCTCCATATGAAGCGCTGGCTCGAACCATAACTTGCCCACCATACAGCACTGGATGGGGAGTATGTTATAACAGATAGACCAAATCCTCTGTATAGTCCACGAACACCTTCTGACTTCAGAACTTTGCGAGCAACATCCAAGCCTCCATTGTAGCTTGCATGGCCTGAGTATCCTTGCACCATTAACCTTTGACTAACCTATTTCCATTCGATTTCATGACATCAATTTTCGAAACTTGAAAAAACTCATCCACAAATTGTGACTGGCTGAAGTGGAAAGCAGGGCAATAACAATAAAATAAGGAAGACCATAAATGTCTGAAACACAATTTTTTTTTTTTGATAAGGATGTCTGAAACACAACTTATTTGTAAATTACTTTGCTATGCTCAATTCAGCCAAATTTAGTTAATATTCTAATGCAAATTCTAGTAAATGACAAAAAGAATAAAGAGCAATCTGATAATTTACGAAAACATTCTTCAGATGTAATCAGATATTTAATCTAGCTACACGTGGATTTTTTTTTTTTTTTTTTTGATAAGTAAAACACATGGATTTCTAGAGAATAAATTATGTTGGATTCACAATCCACATGTCCAAGTCATTACGCCTCTATTATGAAAAGAGAATGAAGAGATAAAGGGCATACTATGTCAATTGGAACAAAGACAGATTGTGAACAAAGAGACGCCAGCATGCCAGCAACGCCATTTGCTATAGCTGCCTGTATAGGTTCTGATAGTTTGAATGGTTCAACCATCTTAAAGGCAGCCACCTTAGTGGTCTCTAGTGCTGTGAGAAATATAATCCTGGCGGGAATTGCCCCAGTAATGACAGTTCCAAAACCTCTATATAAACCAGGAACACCATCGTTTCGCAATATGCCCCTGACAACAGAAAATGCATTGTCTTTTGCAGCAGTATTGGTTGCAACCTGCATTCTAGTCTTGATAACGGAAATGGGGTAGAGCGCAACAGTAAGCCCTGTAAATATCCCAGCTCCTACGACATAGAACTTACTCTTATCAAGCCTGCAGAAGAGTGGAAGACATGAAGAGAAGTCCAAAAGAAAAAAAGAGAGGGTAAAAATAAAAGGAGGAAGCCTGCATACAAGAAAAGAAATTTTCCCCATGGGCCACTACATCATTAAAAGATTAAGTTGCAGCGCAAACAGATCCTACTTGACCTTAAACATTATCCTAAAAGATAGAGAAACTTAAATCTATGTTATAAGTATACATAACTTTGGAGGCCTGAAATCCACCAAGAGGTCGAAGCCGAAGATTCTCCATTCTACTGATTTTTCCGGAATCTCAGAAAATGAGTTAATTTACAACTTTTGTTTTCTCTTTCTTTTTTTTTCTTTTTTTTGGGATGACCGAGAATTCGGGCGGCCAACCCTTAGGACCAACCGCAGTCTTCGGAACTCGGGAAGAATGGGCCGACCCCTCTACCCTTCTCCACTTAAAAGCTTAGTTCGAATGGCGCAGGGCTCGAACATGTGACTAAGTCACAAGTCCCTTAACCTTTGCCACTTGAACTAAGCCCTAGGGGCAATCAACAACTTTTGTCTACAAAATAAACACGTAAAGAAGAATTAATAAGATAGTAAATCTAGCCACCAAAAATTTCTGGTGATTAGTGTACAGTTTAAGCCCTCTTACTATTCATTTTTGAATCCCAGTCACTTTTATACACAGGATAGGAGGGAGACAAAGTACAACATCTCTCATTGGTTTTGGAGGACAATCATTTAGCTAGGCCAACCCGCAATTAGCATCCAATTTGAACTTATTCTCTTTTTGGACAATACAATTACAATTTCTAAAATAAATTTCAACCTCAGAATATTATAAGTCCCAACTAGCAATCCTTGGTTTTCATGTTTAATTCACAGTGAATAAGAGAATTGCAAATAGATCTCTGCTAATTACTTTAAAAACTAGTTATCACTTTCCATAATTGAACACGTTATTAATTGCAATCTGCAAGACCTATAATCATTTCCTATAATTAAACACATAATAATCATTCAATCATACGGATGAAAAAAAAAATATTAAAATGACAAAAACAAAATTGAGGAGTCGTATATTAAGACAAAATAAATCGAAGAAGTGGAAGGAAGCTTTACTTGTCCCAGTTAATCTCGGTTTG